GAGGTCCTATCCCCAAATATGATGGTATTTTGGGCTTTCGGGAGACAAAAGTTGAATGAAACAGATCCTTTTGATGGGATTAGTCCTCTTACAAGAAGAGATACCAAAGAGTTATCTCACACCCCTTTCCCCTCCCTTCCCTGTCTGAGGTGAGGTAACAGCAGAAGGCTGTAGAGGATGACCTTACAGAATAACCAGCTCAGAATTAACAGTATTTAATATGGCTCAATAGAATCATCAAAGGAGCTTTTGAATGCCTGATGCCCTAAAGAATAGTCTTCAAGAGTTGTCGCTGGTGTAATTGCTTTTCATATGTAAAGGAAGTGGGAGGAGACTATTCTACTTCTACCCCTACCTCACACCATTTGGAAAAACAAAATGGGCCATAGACCTAAACATAAAAACTGAAATTATATAACCTCTAGAAGAAAACATGGGAGAAAACTGAGCCTGGTGTGATAGCACATGCCTATGGCCTCAGCTCTAAGTATTATACTTCATCTAGCCAAAGGGCTGAGAAGTGATGGTCCCAGCATGAATGAGGCTGAGGGGGAAGATTGCTTGAGTGCAGGAGTTCAAGACCTTTTGAGGTATGAAGTAGCAGGCAGGGCAGGGAGGGATTAAGTAGAAAAAAATCCTTAAGATTCTTAAAACAATTTTTTTTTTTTTTGCTTTTTTTATGCGTGAACGAGTGTTTTGCCTGTATGTATTTAAATGCACCCATGTAGTGCATTGCCCACAGAAGCCAGAAAAGGGGGTCAGATTCCCCAGAACTGGAGTTACAGATGGTTGTTAGCCACCACATGGGTGTGGGGAACTGAACCCAGGTCCTCTGCAGAAACAGCCAGTGCTCTTAATTGCTGAGCCATCTCTCCAGCCCCAACAAAATATATTTTTTAATATTTTATTTAGTATTTTTATTTTATGTGTATGAGTATATTGCTTGCATGTATGTGAGTGCACCTGTGTCGTGCAATGCCGCGGAGGTCAGAAAAGGGCTTCGGATTCCCCTGGAACTGGAGTTAAGGACAGTCCATAGCCGCCATGTGGGTACTGGGAATCGAACCGGGGTCCTCTGCAAGAGCAGTCGGTGCTCTTAACTGCTGCGCCATCTCCCCAGCCCCAACAAAATATTTTTTTAACAAGACACAGAAAACACTAACCATAACAATTTTAGTTAATTTGACTTCATCAAATATAAGCTTCTTTAAGAGATGCCACTAAGAAGCCAGGCATGGCCATGCACACACCTTTAATCCCACACTTGGGAGGCAGAGGTAGGCAGATGTCTGTGAGAATGAGGCCAGAAACTGGTCTACATAGCAAGTCCCAGGCCAGCTAAGGCTACAGTGAAACACCGCCTCAAAAAAGCAAAAACCAAACAAGCAAATGAAAAGTGCTAACCATAGATCAGGAGAAAATATTTGCAATACATTTATGACACAGTACTCACATTGATTCTTATATAGCAAATAGCTGTCATGGAGAAAAAAATTTAACCATGCATTTAATGTTACTTCTGTGTGTCTACCTGGTTTTATACTTTTGGACATAGTAGTACCTTATAGTGCTTTTATGAATGCCTACTAAAATCTCTGTTGAAAAATAAATCAAAGCTAAAATGGAGAATGCAATCTTGAGAAGCAGACACCACAGATTATTTAGCAGAGTATCTGTTTTCAACTCCCTTGCTTGCAGTAAACTCTGTTGCTAAAAGATTACCCTACCTCCTGCCCTAAATATCTGCCTCTGCAAACATGCCTGCAGAAGGAATTTCCCCTCTGTGGTCTTAGGGCACATACGCATTCATGCTGATGGTCACATAGACTGTTACTTAAACCCACTAATGCCATAACTGTTAAAGAATAACACAGGAACTGGGCATGGTGGTGAAGACTTTTAATCCCAGCTTTCTGGACGCAGAGGCAGGTGGATCTCTGTGAGATGGAGGCCAGCCTGGACAAGTTCCAGGCCTGCTGGGGCTATAGGGAGACCCTGCCTTAAAAAAAAAAAAAAAAAAAAAAGTGGGCGGGGGGGCCTGGAGAGATGGCTTAGTGGTTAAGAACACAGGTTCTTAACAGAAGACCCAGGTTTGAATCCCAGCACCCACATGGCAGCTAACAACTGTCTATAACTCCAGTTCCAGGGGATCCGACAGCCTCTTCTGTCCTCTGTGGGCATTGCATGACATGGGTGCACTTACCTACATGCAGGCATAACTCTCATACACATAAAATAAAAATAATAAATAAAAAAATATTAAGGAAGGAAGGAAGGGAGGGAGGGAGGGAGACAGACTAACAAGGAGACTTAAACCATGAAGGAACAAAACTTGGGGCTCATATTTTTTTGGGAGGAAACTCCACTTGAGTCCACCAGCATGAAATAAACTTTCCTGATTACTCCACATGAATCTCTCAGTGCCTTCTCTATTCATGGGTAGTCCCCTGCCTCAATTTCCCATAACAGCTATGCAACTCAACAGATGAAAATGTGGGTGACAAATTTACATAGATACTTCACTGAAAAAAGATAGATATACATGACCAACAAACACACAGTTATGTGTTTTACACGACGAGTTGTCAGGGAATGCGAGTGAAAACTACAAAGAGGTACTAACATATACCATATATGCCCTCTAGAATGATCGAAAGGGAAAAAAAGATTAACAGCACCAGTCGTTAGCAAGGATGTAGAAGTGGAACTCTAAAACACTCGTGAAAATGGTAATGGAACAACTGTTGGAAAACTTTGGGTTTACTGAGACAAGAGCTTGCCATGTAGCCCAGACTGGTTGCAAACTCACAGCGGTTCTCATGCCTCCATCTCCCAATTTCTTTTTACTTTCCCTTTTCTCTCCTCAGCTCCCCAACTCCCTTCCCCTCCCCCTTCCTTCACCTCCCTTTGTTTTAATAGAGTCTCACTATATGGCTCAAGCTGGCCTCAGACTCAGGACCCTTCTGTTTTAGCCTCCCCCATGCAGGGGTCACAGGTGTGCATCAACATGTTCTGTGCCACTCAGTTCAGCTTTTTCTTTTTCTTTTTTTTTTTTTTTTTTTAACCCACTTGCTGGCCCCCAAGCTTGGGCAAGGGGGTCAGGGAACAGGGGCAGTCAAGACACAGTCCTGGGTGGTGAAATGAAGGACAATGTTTTAAAAAGAAATTTGTCAAATATGGTTTGGAATAAAGCGGACTATATCCTATACACTTTTTTTTTTTCTTGTCTTTTTGAAACAGGGTTTTCCTGTAGCTCCAGCTGGCCTGGAACTCACTATGTAGACCAGGCTCACCTTGAATTCACAGAGATTCGCCTGCCTCTGCCTCCCAAGTACTGGGACTATAAGTGTGTGCCACCACGCCCAGCCCAGTTCAGCTTTAAAGCATAAGTTCCTTTCTATTTTCTTTTTCTCAGGGGCATTTTCGAGTATCTATGCAAATTTTTATGCCTGATGCAGTGTGTGAGTGCAGATACATACTTGCCATGACATGTATATGGAAGTCAGAGATCAGTTTTTGGGAGTCAATCCCCTTTCCACCATGTGTTCCAGGGATTGAAGAAAGGACATCAGGCTTGTACAGCAAGTGCTTTTACCTGCTGAAGCATCTTGACAGACCCCAAAACATTTTTTAATGATGGCATAATAGTATGCTATGACCACTGGCTGTTCTTGTAGGTGACCTGGGTTTGGTTCCCAGCACCCACATGGCAGCTAACAACCACCCATAACTCCAGTTCTAGGAGATCTGACACCCTCCTCTGTCATCCTTGGACATTGCACAACACAAGTACACTAATACACATGCAGGAAAAATACTCATACACCTAAAATAAAAATAAATTAATTTAAAAGTTTTTTTAAAGTATGTTAACGCAGCATACTTGTTCCAGCAGCCATTTCCTTTACCACCTTGAGCGAGTTACTTAACCTGTCTGTGTCTTACTTTTGTCTTTGTTGTTGTTGTTGTTCTTTTTGAGACAGGGTCTCCCCGTAGCCCCACCTGTCCTGGAACTCACTGTGTAGACCAGGCTGGCCTTGAACTCACAGAGATCCGCCCGACTCTGCCTCTTGAGTGCTGGGATTAAAGGCGTGCACCACCACACCCAGCTACTTTTGTCTTTTTAAAAGAATTTTATTTTTGTATTTTATGTGTATGAGTATATTGCCTGTATGTATGTAAGTGCACTCATGTTGTGCCCGTGGAGGTCAGAAGAGGGCATCAAATCCCCTGGAACTGGAGTTACAGACCATTGTTAGCCGAAATGTGGGTGCTGGGATTTGAACCTGGGTCTTCTGCAAAAACAGCCAGTGCTCTTAACCACTGAGCCATCTCTCCAGCCCCAGTTTTGTCTTTTGTATAATGGAAATAGAAACAGAGTCTACTGTATTAGGTTGGTGAAAGGACTGAAGAAGTCAGTCCTTATAGAGTACATAGAACAGTGCTTGGCCTAGGGCAAACCTTAAATATATGCTTTCTATTTATCATGGTTTACACAAATATGTCTTTGCCTGAATTTTTTGAATTGTTTTAATGATAAATTACTATAGGAGGAATTAGTGGTCAATGGTATTAATATTTTAAGCCTCTTCATCTGATGGTCAAATAGCCTATGAATAAGACTATTCTAATTAATTACTAACAGTGTTGGGTGTCTATTCATTTCCTCTGAAAATGATTAGTTATTATCTTTTTCTTTTATACTTACCAAAACAGATGATATCGAGCATCTGTTATGCCCTTACCCTAATCTTTCTGTTGTCTGTTATCAGACTGAAATTGATGTTCAGTCTAGAACCTAATCTTAGTTTATTTTTTGGTTGCATGACTAATCCAGATGGAAGCGCTCTGCCACGTAGTGAGCTTAACCCATTTACATTAATTGGAGTTTCTGTGCATTATGCTTTTGTTTCCTGGTGGTAGAATCTGCAGGTCACCATCTCAACAGGCTCAACAGGTACTTGTGAGCTGCTGACCTATTACTCTGGGATCTGTTCCAGAAACCACTCAGATCGAGGATCCGCGGGTGCAATGGCGGCGGGAGCAGGAGCACATGCTGAAGGATTACCTGGTGGTGGCCCAGGAGGCTCTGAGCGCACAGAAGGAGATCTATCAAGTGAAGCAGCAGCGTCTGGAGCTCGCACAGCAGGAGTATCAGCAGCTGCATGCCGTCTGGGAGCATAAACTGGGCTCCCAGGTCAGCTGTGAGTACCACCCACTGCCATAGTCACCAGCAGCATCCCCATTAGTACCAGCAGGAACTGTCTATACTGAGAACTGCCAAGACTGCTCTTCAGTACTTCTTTTAAAAAGAAAAAAATATTTATATTTTATGTGTATGAGTGTCTTGCCTGTATGTATGTAAGTGCACCCATTTTGTGCAATGCCTGAGGAGGCCAGAAGATCCCCTGGGGGTTGTTAGATGGCCATATGAGTGCTGAAAATCGAACATAAGTCCTCTGTTAGAGCGAGCAGCCAGTGCTCATAACCACTGACATATCTCCAGCGCCTTCTCAGTACTTCTTAATCTATCCGTTTCTCCCCATTCCTGGTATAAGCTAGCATCCTCTCTACTGTTCTCCCTGCTCCTTTTACTTTCTTCTTTTCCTTTGCGTCTGTGTGTGGTGGGGGAGGGTATATACTTATGTGTGTTGGTAATTGTATCCATGTACACATGTGGAGGCCATAGGAGGATGTCATGTGTCTTGCTTTATCTATTCCCTTGAGTCAGGGTCTCTCATGAAACCTGGAGCTAGGCTGGCAGCCAGCTAGCCCCAGTGATCCTCCTGTCTCTACTCCCATACCCCAGCCCACAGAGCGGGAGTTACAGGCACACACGGACACACTTGGCTTTTTACATGGGTGCTGGGGATCTGAATTCAGGCCCTCAGGCTTGTACAGCAAATGCCCTTACCTACTAAGCCATCTCCTCAGCCCCACCTGCTCCCTTGCTCTCTTCTGTGTCTAACACAAAATAATTCATTTACCATTTATACTTTGCTTCATTCGATTTCATTTGTAATCATTTTGGAATGCTAACCAGATTCCTACCACCTTGTTTACAAATGAGAAAACATGTTAAAAGCTGGTGGTCTAGCCATGCATAGTGAAACATGCTGACAATCCCAGCTCATCCAGAGGCTAAGCAGGAGGATTACAAGCTTGAGGCTAGCCTGGGCTGCATAGTAAGACCCTGTCTCAGAACTAATCTTTTTTAAAAAAAGAGTGGGGATAGATAGAGCTCCGAGATAGAATGTTTACTTAACATGTGCAAGCCCTGGATTCCATTCCCACTACTACAAAATAAACAAAACCCTGGGAGATCTAGGTGAAGAAGGGAGGTATCAATATTCATCACATCATTCCTGAATTTGTGGGTAGGAACTTTTTTAAAATTAAAAGTCACATGGGGAAAAAAGCCAAATACTGCGAGAGTAAAGTGTCTCATAAGAAACCCTTGCATGGTGCATTGGTGGCTGTGGCAGAAGGCCTGGGTGCAAATGTCTGTTGCCACAACACTGACCATGGCCTCTGGGGGCCCATACTTCACCTTTTCAGTCTCAGATCCCTTATGTGTGTTTTGTTTGGTTCTTTGGTTTTGTTGTTTTGAGATAGGGTCTCCTTGTAGCCCCAGCTGGCCTGGAACTCACTATGTAAACCAGGCTGACCTCAGTGTCACTGAGATGTCTGCTTCTGCCTCCTGAGTGTTGGGATTAAAGGCATGCACCACCACGCTTATGTTTCCTTATGTTTTACAGTGGAGATGTTAACAATGCCTTTAACTGATGAATCCATGTCTAGTCCATTTCAGCCTCAGTGCTATTGACATTCGTAGCTGAATGAACTTTCACTGAGGCTACCCTGCATATAGAGGGATGTTTAGCATTATTCCTAATCTGTATCCATTAGGTATCAGCATTGCCTCCCTACCCTAAGTCATAACAAACAAAAACATTTCCAGATATCTCAGTGTGCCGTGGAAGGCACTATTGGCCCCAAGTTGAAAATCACTGGTCTAGGGACACCTAGAACAATTTCTTTAGAGCATGTGAATGACTCAGTGTCCTAGTTTGTTTCTCCGTTGCTGTGACAAACTACTCTCACCAGTACTAACTGGGGAGGAAAAGGTTTACTTAGCTTACATCTCCCAGATCACAGTTCATCAGGGAGCCTAAGGTAGGAACTCAGGGCAGGAACCTGGAGACAGGAGTTGGAGCACAAGCCATGGAGGAATGCTGCTTACTGGCTTGCTCCTCTGGCCCCTGCTCAGCCTGCTTCCTTATGCAGTACAGGCCCACCTTCCAGGGGTGGCACCACCCACAGTGGGCTAGGCTCTCCCACATCATTCAACAATCAAGAAGATGCCCCCTACACATAGGCACAGGCCAGTCCTATGGAGGCAATTCCCCAATTGAGGCCCCCTTTACACAGGTGTTGACACTAAGCTATCCAGTACAGGTGACCCCTTGTCTACTTGATGCACAAACATTTCACTATTAAACCTAACCTTTCCAATTCTTATCCCCAAAATATGATGTTAACATTAATATCACAACATAAGACAGTACAACCTTAAAAGCCCCACAGTTCTTAAAAAATCCAAACACTTAAAAGTCCATAGTCTCTTTTAAAAGTCTCTTAACTGAGGACTCCTGTAAAATCCAATAAGTACTGCCTTATTTCAAAGGGAAGAATTGGACACACCTAAGCAAAACCAAAGTCCAGCAAATTATCTCAAGGCTGGACATCTGGGATTCACTCACAATCTTCTGGGCTCCAAAGGATTCTGGCAGCTCCACTTCTCTGACTCTGCTGTCCACAGTACACAGAGTTCATCTCGCAGACCCAGACCAGTGCCATGCCACACCTACTGCTGTCCTTGGTGGTCGTCCCACTGTCCTGGCATCTCCAAAAAGCTGGGGTCTCCACTGAAACTGAGGCTACACCTTCACCAATGGCCTCTTCTTGCCTCTGGGGGTGCAAAGCCTCAGATTCTCTCCATGACCCCTTCAATCCTGGGGTCTTCATTGCAACTGAAGCTGCACTTTCTCCTGTGGCCTCTCCTGGCCTCTCAGAGTGCCAAGCCTCAGCTGCTCTCTGTGACCCCTTCACGCTTTGAGCACCAGAACCATGCAGGAGACTCTTAGACATTACCAAGTCCTGTTTCCAGCTAGAGATGAAGGCTCAGGCCCCCCCGCAACCACAGCTTCTGTGTGCTGACCCTGAGGAAATACTTCACAGATTTCACCATGGTGATGCTGGTCTCTTGTTACTCACAGCTGATTTTTTTCAGCCTCAGCTAACCAGCATCAGTTGTCCCAGTAAAGCAAGGGTTTACTTCAAGTTCTGTTCTCTTAATTACAGCTGATTCTTCAGCCCCAGCCAACCAGAACCCACAGATTCTCAATTCAAAATATCACACAAACAGCCCTGATAGTCTCTGCTTCCCTTTGAAGCTTCACAAGCCAGGCCTCCATTGTTGACAACTCTTTTCAGCATAACTGTTCCAAGCTCCACAGCAACAAACTCTAAGCACTCAATGGCGTTTCCAGCCCAAAGTTCTGAAGACTTCCACAATCCTCCTAAAAACACCAAGGTCAGGGCTGTCATAGCAATGCCCAACTCTCTGGTACCAATTTCTGTCCTGGTTTGTTTCTCCATTGCTGTGACAAAAATATTCTGACTAATACCAACTTGGGGAGGAAAAGGTTTATTTAGCTTACACCTTCTGAGTCACAGTTCATCAGGGAGTCCAAGGTAGGAACACTCTCAAAGCAGGAAATAAGTGACAGTTCTTTGACTCATTCATATGACTTCTGGACATTCCTTAATGCTGTGCCAGCCTCAAAGGCTGCCACCATTTTGCATATTGAAGATCATCCATCTGAAGGCACCAGGGTCATTTCAGGCAACTGGATCTGAGATCTAGACCAGCAGGAATTGTCAAGTTCCCAACCAAGCTTCCCAGTTTAAAGAGGCATGCCCAAAGTCTCATCTTGATCATTCTTTAGGTTTTACAAGCTGGGTTTGCTTTCCAACTCCTGTTTCTGGGGTGGCAGACCAGTGAGGCCACATGCCTCTCCTCCAACTCAGATGGCCTGCTGGGACTTGTGAGGATTTCATCATCAGTCAGCCTAGACTGCTGTGGGTGCTAGTCACAGGTCAAACCCTGCTCTGGGATGGGCTTTGCTGTCAACTCTCTGGTCTAACCTCTAGCCCCATGGGGAAAGAGAAGGAAAGCAACATTTAATGTGTGCCTACTGTACACCTAGAGAGCAGTGAGCTAGGCCCTCTACCCAAGTCACCTTCCTCCCCACTTAGTAGACATAATATTGTTACCGTTCTGCAGATGAGGAAACAGGCTCCACAATGGCAAATGGCCTATTCCAAAGTCACGCCAGTGAGAAAAATGGTAGAGGTTATGTCTGATCTCCATACCTCATCCCTTTCATTTAATCCAACTTGGCCTGTTGCATGCCAAGATTCACGGGTTACACTTGGTTCTTCCTGGCCTATAAAACATAAAGACTTGGGAAAGTTGGTATCTTAGTTTGCTTCTCTATTTCTGTGATGAAAAACTCTGACCAAAATCAACTTGGGGAGGAAAGGATTTATTTCACTTTCAACTTACAGTTCATCATGGAGGGAAGGCAGGACAGGAACAAAAGAACAGATGACAGAGGAGCTGCTTACTCACCCAGACTTACTCCCCTGGCCTGTGCTCAGCCTGCTTTCTGATACAACCTAGAACCACCTGCCGAGGGGTGGCACCACCCCCAGTGGGCTGGGCTCTCCCACATCACTCAACAGCCAAGAAAATGTCCTACAAACATGACCCCAGGCCAGTCCATTGGAGAAAACTCCTCAATTGAGGTTCCTTTTTTCCAGGTGTGTCAGGTTGACAATATAGCTATCCAGCACAACTGGGTTCTTTGGAGCCTCATCATACTCCTTCCCCTCTCTAGGCTTCAGTTTCCTACTAGAAAAACAAATCATTGGGACTCTGTGCATAAAAATACCAGCTCAATGAATAGGCGGGCACCCAATGAAGCCCCACCCCTAGCTGAGGAACTATTGGCAGTTGACTGTTGCTGGGGGATGGGAAGTCATTTTCTTAGGGGGTGTTGGCCCTGATAGACTTCCACACTCTGAGGGATGGCCCCACACCCATGTACATAGAGGCAGCACTAACTGGACTCATTGC